CAGCTATTAAAAGAATGACTCTTTGTTCACAGACAGTAGATGCCCCATTATTTCGATAGCCGCGGAGGGTCACTGATGTGGCTGTGTGTGTGTGGGGGGGGGGGGGGGTACCCCCCTGATTCCTGGGACAGACTCCAGGCTTGCTGTGACCCGGCACTGCCTGTCTGTTCTGCAGAATGGGTGGGCGATCTCGCTGTTCTCCTTGAGACTTCTTGGCGGTAGATGTTGTCTGCATGCTGAAACCCGGGGGCTGATGTGCGGAACCTGAAGTCCAGCTGTTTCGGTCCCTGTTGGGGGGCGAAGCAGGAATGACACTTTCAGACTGCAGTAAAACACAAACACGGCTCTATAGAACCCGTCCCGGAACTTGGACATTTTGCCGGACAGGTTCTAACGAGTCCGTCTTGGATATCCTCAAATCGGGGCTGGGGAACTGGGTTGAGATGTGACCGCTCGGGCCAAATCGCAGACGTTCTTGTGTAGCGTTCCATAGCATGATGTCATGGGTAAGATGAGGGGAGAGAGAGAGAGAGAGAGAGAGAGAGAGAGACTGGTCAGAGGAGAAAGGAGAGAGAGAGGCAGGCAGAGAGACCACATGTACGTTAGGGACTTCAGCGTCTTTCCTCTTCCTCCGCAGCATGCATCCCGTTCCGCGAGGACAGCCTGGGCGAAGCGGCGGAAGGGGGGGGCGGCGAGACTACTCCCATCGCCATGGAGTCCATGGGGGCCAGCCCGCCCGCCTTGCGGACGCAAGATTTCGCCAAACCCGGCTTGTATTTTGGCATCCGGGGAGACCTGGAGGACTAAGGGGTGCCCCGCCCCCCCCCCAAGTAAAAAGGGACCTAACAGAAGAAATGCAGGGCCTGGAGGAGGAGGAGGAGGGGGGGGGGAGCAACAAGAGATTAAAATCGCCCTAGATAAAGGAACAGCTGGGAGTCACAGCGATTTAAAAAATAAGGAAATCTGTGGCCACTAAAGTGGCGGCTTTTTATGGCTAAACAGGGGAGCGAAGCACTCAGAGGCAAAGCAGGCAATGTTAATGCAATCAAGCTTCTTAATCCCCTATTGGCCAGTTTCCTGGAACGACCCCACTATCCAAACACCCCCATTGAGATGTTGTGCATTTGTCAGCAGGGACAGAAAAATAGAGTTGGGGCGGGTTGGGTTACTTACATCCAACCCCCCCACATAAAAACCAACACGTGCTTTGCACCCCTGCTTGGCTCAT